GATGATATTTCAATTTAAGTCACGCGAGCCCTCGGACGTTTCCGCCGTCTGGTTCGGGGGTGTGACAAACATTGGTGCCTTCGACCCATGAGTACAGTGAGGAAAACTCACCTCAATCCTGAAGACAAGATAAACCACCCACTCGAGCCGACGATATCAAGCCTCTTCTTGCTAAACATATCCACAATAAAACCGTAATTAACAATCCAGGAAATAAATGGCCCACGAAAGGTCTATGCTCACAATTAAACCTCCTTTGGGCAAAAACTTCTATTAAGCTCTTAATACAGAAAGCCAAAAACTTCTATTAAGCACTTAATAATGAAAGCCAAACTCTCAAACTCCCAGATTTGATCTAAATTAATGTCTTCATGTATAAAGTCTCTAAATGTATCCATTTACATGGTCCCAAAGAGCACAATACCAAAACCTAGGTCCATAAAGTTATCTATTGCTCAAGAACTCATGCATAGATGGATGAGAGTGCCCAATCTCTCATTTTTATGACTCAATATCCTCAAAACATTAGAATGAGACACTCAAATCGTCTGGAGTAACCCATACTCACACGAACCAAGATTAAGGGACAAAAAGCATAAAACCCATGTGCTAATTAGATCTAACAAATGGAACATCAAGATGTAAGCTTTATACCTTCTGGAGATTGGTGATGAAGTGCAAAGTCTGGATCTATAAAGCTTGGAGCTCACACTTGCTTCTCCAGTGGACTCCTTCTTCAAGAATGCACCCAAAATCACACCAAGGCTTCCAAAACTCACAATTGGTGGCTAGGGTTTCAAATGAATGATTTGAGGTGATGAATGTTGGTAATGGGAAGGGTTCCAAGAAGTTAGAGCCCTTAAATAGGGCCCAAAACCTTAGGATTGGGGTTTTGGTCAGTAGCAGCTACGCCATGCGTAACTTAATTTACGTCATGCGTAGCTCCTTAAAAACACGCTCCTCTTTCAGCATCTACGCCATGCGTAGATGCAAAACCCTCGTCTTCCAATTCAACCACAAATAGCCATAACTTCTTCGTTTCAACTCCGTTGACCACGTTCTTTATATGCACGGAAAGGTATCGACGAGCCCCACAATCTTATCTAGTTACTTTTGACTAAAAAACATATCGAACTAAAATCCTTAATTCATGCAAGAAGCCAAAGATATCACCTTCCTAATTTTACCCTTTGCTTCAAGGCACAAATTGATGGATTTAATCACATAATCCAATATTGCCAATATCCAAAAAGGGCCTAAACCCTATTCCTTTGAATCCCAACACCATTACTTGATCAAATTCTAGCCTGACGTCTCGAAATTAGAACATCACTAAAACTAGGTGTTACAGTTTCTTGTTGTATTTGTTTGGTTAGCTTCTTGCTAGTTTTCCAATAAATTTTGTGTTTTTTTAACTATTATATAATTCAACTTGGTGATAGACTCGCATGAAGAAAGGGTCGATGATATTGATCTTGAAATTAATTCTACTACATACAAACATATCAATAAAATTAAAATCAAGAAATTACTAAACATATCAAACACAAACACACACAC